AATAAAATAATTTTTTTTCAATTCACTTCCAATATATATTACAATAAAAAAAAAGGACTTTTTTCACATTTGGTCCCATGTATATATATTTGAATATCGGGTGATCCAGTTTTGTAGATCTCTTGAGTCTATGGTATTTAATTATAATTTAGAGAATATTTTGATCGGGAGAGTCATAATGTTACAGATCTAAGTATGGTTTTCTCAGAAATTTGTCTTTTAATAGTAGACCATGTTCTTATTCTGGTATGATCAATTTCTTGAATCTAGTTTTTTTTTCTTACCAGATACTTTGTATAAACAAGTGTGTACTTACAATTTCTTTAATGCTGGATTCTAGTTTAATTTGACAGTGAGTTTGTCCCATTTGTTATCAACAAATAACATTTACTAAGAAAAACTGGATTTCTGTGAGATAATCAACAAATGCAATCTATTATGTTGCATTATTGCATAATTTTGCAGTTTTCTTGTGATGATCTACAACCAGGAAGAACAAAATCAACTGTATCAATACAATCAAACTAAAACACAACATTACTTTACTAATGTTCTTTTATTGTGATGAAAACAAAATAGAAATGCTTCTTAACAAGTATACACTAAATTTAAAGGATAGTTGCTGTTTCTCTTACGATAATTAGATATAAATAACATACATTTATAAACACTAAACTATATTTAGTATAAATATTATCTAGAAAAATATCACATTAAATAATATTCGCATATCACCAAGTCTAAGTTATTACAAACAACTTAAAGAGTCAGAAATCGATTTATATATTAGAGGAAAATTATAATAATAAATAAATTTCACAAATGTCATTAGTGTCAAGATGTCATAATTTAGTTGAGTAAACTTGCCTGCGGTTGGACCAATTGCAAACAAGCATTAGGCCCGGAAAATTTGAATTACTCCTCCTGGTTAAAAAACAGACCATAGATTTTATGTTAAAACTTCTTAAAGTTGTGGTTGAGCAAGATGAAGACAATCTGATTAATAAAATTCGTGTCAGACGATAAAATATTTGAGCAACCTGACGTAATAATTAGTTTTTTTGAAATTTTAAATATTTGCCTGTCACACGATCATATCAATGAAATTCATTAATATTTTTGCTTGTGCTTTATATTTACGATTAAAATGTTTCTTATCCACAATAAAAATAAAAATTCTGAAAGGATTTTTTATAATAATATGGATGCTTCACATTATATAAACAGCTACTTTCTCGATACAAATCAAATATGTTGAAAGTTGTTCCTGGCTCCAAGATATTTTAAACTTTTATAACAAAATAGGAAGACAAATCACACACTGTCAACAAAAAAAAATGAATTTCATCACGTTATGTTTAACTCATCGAGCAATAAGACAAAAGAGGGAATCTAATCGATTATAAAAAGGAGACCAAAAAAGTGGCCTCTGATGGCGGACACATCCGGAAATGCAAAGGCGCTAAATTTAAATTTTCCAACATTTGTTAACAATAGCTATAAAATATTTTTCAGACTAGAAAGTATTAATTAAATATTAACGATAATAGTCTAAAAAGTGACATAATTGGTAAAAAACTTTAATATAAATAAAATTTCATGTGACAGTTGGGACAAACAATAACATAACCAAACTAAATTTGACTTCTTAAACAAGGAAAGAGACTGTCTATCCTTGTCTAAAGTGGCCTCTCAAGATGGCACTTCCTGTCTATCAATATGTTTACCCCTTCTACCTTTACATTCCCTCTTTTGTCTTATTGCTCGATGGTTTAACTGTTGGTTGTCATTTGTGTTATTTTTTAACCAATCAAAATTAAATTTTGATCAAACTGACCTTGAAAAGAAGATCATCTATTTTTAGGATTTGATCAAACTCAGAGACACAGCATAGGAAACAAATCCTATGCTGTGTCAGAGATTTGACCGTCTGACATGGACTAAATAGTTGTACCTTCTGTATCTGTAGGTGATTTCCAAGTTCTTTGTTTCAAGTTAAGAAAATAACATTACGCTTATGGAGATCAGTGTTGCCAAAACTCTCAGACACTCTCTTTTGCACGGATGTCCAAGATATTCCCTTTGCTTAATTTTTGAATTTTAATTTTCAATTAACATTTAACTGTAAAATCAGAATAATTACTAAATAAAAGCCTTATTATCATTATGTAGTCAGAGAACGACATAAAATAGCTGACATACGCACATCGTATTATTTTAAGTTGCAATTAGTAATTAGATAAACGCATTCCAAGCGGTCAATATTTCTATTGATTTCTATGATTCATGACATATCGTATTCTCACCGAAAAACAAATAAACTGTCGCTACTATAATTAAAATAAGATAAAATAAAATTATCTTTTGTAAATACTATTTATCTAATTAAAATCATTTTCTCTACTTTCCATCTTTTGTTTCGAATGGGCACTTTTGGTCAATTTCGTTAAAAAACATTAATTTAATTCGTGTTTGTGGAAACGAAAATACAAATTATATAACCCTAAATTGTGCTTGTGTGTGTCGTGGCAACGCCGCGTTTCTATCGTCCATAAGAAATATATGGTCCTATCTCCGCAATGTTATTTTCTAAACGTGGAACGTAGTATAGGATGTTGTTTTGAAGATGGTGTTGGCTATTAACAGGTTGTTCTCTGCGCAGAATTATACAATATCTCACCTGTTGTTCCTGGTACCGTAAGTCATTATATCATCCATGTTTTTCAATTTCTCGATTTCTTCCTCTGACTTGTCACTTGTTGGAGCACAAACCTCAATAATATTAAGGTTTCTATGGGTTGTTTGTATCTTCAACAGTGCTCTATCTTTTAGAGGAATTAAGTCTGTGACTGACTGCGAAATATTGTCCGATATGCTAACATAGTTCTACATTGATTTTATATTTTACATTTATTGTATTTAGGGGAAAATAAAAAACAAAATATTAAGTTCGTGGATTTATTAATTTCATAAGAGGTAACTTTACGTGACTAGCCTATATGATTGAACTTAAAAACTATTTATTGCCTAAAAATCCAATTTTTATCACATTAGTTTAAGAAAATCATTAGTAAATGTAACACCCCGTTATTTAAGTTTCAGTAGTTGAAAAAAATATATTAATTTTAACTAAACACTACTGATAATACATCAAAACAAAATCACAACACTGTTTTCTAATTTCTACATGCTATTGTAAATAATTACGAAAATAATGTAAATATTTCGCTGTACGATAACTTCCTCAGAATAGAAATTTTAAAATAGTTCAAATATATTTTCATGATGAAGCTGGGATAATCATACAGCAATATGAAATGTATAAATACCAAAGCAAGGGAGAGAGCAACTTGGAATTGAAAGATTTTAAGCAGTTTAACCTGGTTAGTATATCTACATCAAAGTAAACTGTAAATTCTGCTTAATTCGGATTCACGATTTATGATAAATTGTTCCGTCTTTTTCAAATGTGTTTCGGTTTCTTATGATAAACTAAATGACCTTAAATTGCGATTAAATATATTGTTAATTGTGAATATTGTGAAATAAGTTTTTCTCAGGATATCGCACGTATTTGACGAGTTTTCCCTTAATATATGCCTATAGTAAAAAAACGTCTATAGAAATTTCGGCGTTGTTTCTTAATTAACAATTTAATGCGAAAATTTTTTTCGAATTTTTGCAAATACCTAATCTTAAATATGACATTTACTTTGTCGTACAGAATTGTCGTAACTTTGTGTCATCCGATAGATATGAATTCACTATTGATAGTTTCAAACAATAAAAAAAATATTCGTCCACCCTCTTTTACTTTTCCAAGAAATGTAATGTAAGTCGACTATGTAGCACTTTAACAGTAAGATTAAGAGTCTGTCCACATTTACCAGCAAATAAGTTACACTGATCTATGTATACCAAACACACAGATATAAAATCATATTTTCAGCGAATAGACAAAAATAACAATCATATTTCCCCTTGGTCTCCCCTCCACATTCCTTGCGAACGCCAGATGATTATTTCCGATGCAGCTTATACGTAAGAAACAGCGGCAGGGTTGCTTTATTATATATTTGAATTAAAACATTGAATTGATTAAAAAAATTGGCGATCAATTTTTTAAAAAAAATTGGCTTTCTGTGACCATAATGGTGTTCATTTGGCGGGTGTTAACCGACACATGCCTTGTATTCGATTATTGGTCTTATAGGTGTGCAATAGTGTGTTATTTGACGTATTGACCAGTTGATCAGACAACACTGCCAGGAGTTTTGCCCTTTTTCTTACCCTGTCTAGGGTGTTTTGTATGTCGGTCTTCCAGTTGAGACTCAGAATCAGAATACGAAGACATAGAAGAACAAAATGAATTTCGTGCAGGAAGATCGTACACTGATGGTATATTCGTTCTGTAGCAGGCAATCGATCGATCTTCCTGTTGAGAGTCGTGTTAAAATGAACTCCCAAATAGAACACCGAGTTTGTAAGAATAGGTCCTCTCGTAGCGGGTTATCCGGCCCTGAGCATCACGACAGTGGGGAGATTTAAATAATATTAATTGAGTTTTGGAGACGTTAATAGTCACTCTCCATTTATTGCAACACCTAACAACTATGTTTAGGTAATTTTGCTCTATCGAATACAGACATTTGTCCAAGCATAGACTTATGTGGGCCTGATACTCTCGTACTGAGAGCCACAATCTGAAGCAGAGTTGCCGCTCTTGCTATTTAGAAAGTGATTTTGCTTGTCCAGTTGCGAAAAACAGCCAGTGGCAAAAATATATACCATAACATAATAACCTATAAAGGGCTAAAAGAAAAACTCGTCGAATACCAAGTTATAAAGTCCTATACATGGTTAAATTTTGCTTATTTCTCTGAAGTACACCTTTCTAGTTATGCTTTAACTATAACAACTTGTAAATTTATGATTAAAGTCTAGAGAGTAAAACTGTTTTTTTTATAGTACAATTGAACTACTTTATAAAAAATTAAGTCTTCTAAATGTCATCTACTTAATTTTATTTAATTTTATTTAGAATTATATATACTATTACGATTCATCGATTTCAATCTCATACTATCAACTTTCGCCCAGTCCATTTTCGAGTGCGGGTATAATCCGTGTTTATCCTTGACTATCCAGAATGAGTCAATTACGTCTCCGCTTTTATCATCTGAAACTTGCTCTAGATGCATGTGTGAAGAATTGTAAACTTTGAGACGGCTATATCCGTAGTCGCTACTTCTGAACGCTGACCATTCGGGTAGTTCTTTAACAAAACTGTCTCTGCCTTCGTCACAGCCGGCTGAGCCAGTGGTAAACTGCACAGGAGCCCTGAAAATATATATACATTAATAGACTAATCGATCTTAACACCACCGATAACTAATACTAAAACTAAAACAATAAACAAACTATAACAATTGTTAGGAATATTGAAAGAAACGTGATAGTTAACTATCGCGAAAACAATAACACAGAATATACAAAAGGGACAAGAAGTAGCATCCCCTAAATATAACCTAGAAAGCTTAAGAGAAGATTCAACGAAATTTCTTTACAAAGTACGGCTGGCCACAAAATTACAAAATATGGATCGAGAAATATATCAGCGGAAGAATTATACCAGCAACTTAAACAATGCATTCATGAGGCTGCAAGTGAAGCTTTGGAATATAAAGACAAACATGAAATAAAAAATCAAGAATGGTGGTCGAAGAATATGCAAACGTTAGTAAACAAGAAGAAAACTGCTTATCAGAAATGGATGTCAACGAGAAAGGAGGAAGATTGCAAGATATATAAAAAATTAAATCGAGATGTAAAAAGAGAAGTAGTGAAAAGTAAAAATGAGATGTGGGATGGAAGATGTGCAGAGGTGAATAGGTATATGGGTGGAACAAGAGTTGGGCAAGCGTAGAAGGTGATAAAGTCTCTCCGGATGGAAAGAAAGGAAAAATCGAAATTACAGTTAATAGATCTGAAACGGTGGGAACACCATTATGCGATCTTACTGACAGAGGATAGATGTAAATTCCAAGAGATCGAAATGGAAGAAATACCCGAACATACACAAATAATTGAGATAACAACCGGAGAGTTAACCGATGCCCTCAAAATATCGAAAAACTGTAAAGCAGTAGGACCTGGAGACATCCCAATTGAGTTGGTAAAGTATGGACCAAAAATATTACATGAGATGTTGGTTCAACTATTTAACAAATGCTTAAAAGGACAAAATATCCCTGATGATTGGAATGTTGGATACATCAGCTCAATATTCAAGAAAGAGGATAAACGCAAATGCTCTAATTATAGGGAATAACTGTTATCCGCTCAGTGGGGAGGTTGTACGGTCGAATAATAAAAGAAAGAATAGAATCAGAATGCGAAGACATAGAAGAACAAAATGGATTTCAATCAATTTTGTTCAAAAACAAACAATCGAAAAACGGAAGGCAAGGAACCTATCTACACATGTTTCAAACATTAACGAAAGTAGGTCTCAGTATGGAGTATGTGGATGCTATCGCAAATATATACAAAAATGCAAGAAGTGTCGTTAAAGAAGGAAACTTTATATCTGAATCATTTCCAATAAGAAAAGTGCTTAAACAAGGATGTTGTCTATCTCCGACCTTATTTAAAATATATATTCAATCATCGCTAGAGCAGTGGAGGAAACAAGTATCCGGAATGGGAATAGACACAGGCGGTGTTAAATGTCTAACAACTTTATTTTTCGCAGATGATAAGGTAGTCGTAGCGAATGATGAGGAAGACATGGACTACATTTTAGAAAACTAAAGAAAAAATATGAAAAATGGGATCTCAATGTGAATATGTCAAAGACAGAGTATCTTAAAATAGAAGATGATGAAGAAGATCCAGTGTTAAAAGTTAGAAACACAAAAACATGTAATGAATATAAATATCTCTTCTTCTTCTTCTGGTAGGACCCGGATGGGTCTTGGCTGACTGCACAACTTGCTTCCATCTCGAACGGTCGTCCATGATGTTTAAGTCAGTGGGTAGCCCCATTGTTCTCAAATCTGACCATATATTATCTCTCCATCGCATTCGTGGACGTCCTAAGGGCCTTCTCCCTGTCGGGACTTCTTCCAGATTAACTTGGTAAGGCGGTTATTAGGAGCCTATGAACATGGCCAGCCCATCTTAGACGTTGGGATTTAATCTCTTGGACTACGTCGCTAGCACTATACATTTGTTTGACCTCGGCATTTGTTCTCATTCGGTATTGGTTAGTATTCGGATCGTGATAGGGACCGAAGATCTTTCTGAGGATTTTTCTCTCAAAGCATCTGAGTTTACTTTCCATTGCTTTTGTCAGCGTCCACGTCTCACACCCATACATGAGCACCGGTCTAATTACTGTTTTATATATCCTGATTTTTGATGTTCGTGTTAGGCTCTTGGATTTAATAGTGTTGTGGAGGCTATACATACATCTGTTTGCTGCCTGAATTCTCCCTTTTATCTCTTCCGTGATATCGTTATCTGTGGAGATAGTCGCTCCGAGATATTTAAAACTCTCCACTCTTTCAAAGTTATAGGGGTCTATTGTTACATTTTGTCCTATTCTATCTCGTCTCTTTTGTCTGTTAATGCACATATATTTGGTTTTCTCTTCATTGACCCTTAGACCGGTATTTTTTGCCCCTCTCTAAGTTATTGAAGGTTTCTTTTACATTGGTGACGGTATTTCCTACAATGTCAATGTCATCCGCGTATGCTAGTAGTAATTTTGGTCCATTTACTGTCAGTAGTTCTGTTCTAATTTGTGCGGTTCTTACTACTTTTTCCAGGATTATATTAAAAAGAAGAGGTGACAGCGCGTCTCCTTGTTTCAGTTCACGGTTTATTTCAAACGACTCTGAAAGCTTGTTACCTATCCGCACTCTAGATCTAGAGCCATTTACACAAACTTTAACGAGCTGGTTAAGTTTTTTGGTACTGAAAGTTCTGCCATTGCATTCCACATCTGATCCCTTTTAATGCTGTCGTGTGCTTGTCGGAAATCTATGAAGAGATTATGAATGGTTCTATTGAATTCCCATCCTTTTTCAAGCAGCTGCCTGAGAGTAAAAATCTGATCTATGGTCGATCTATTTTTTCTGAACCCGGCTTGGTATTCCCCTATGAAATTTTCTACAAAAGGTGTTAGTCTACTTAATAGGATGTTCGATAAGATTTTGTACGCCGTATTAAGTAGGGAGATGCCTCTATAGTTAGAGCACTTGGTTTTGTCTCCCTTTTTATGGATAGGAATTATTACACTTTCGTGCCATTTTATTGGTACTTTCTCTTCGTTCCATATAAGTGTTATTAGTTTGTGTAATTGTCTATGTAAAGTTTCTCCTCCGTACTTAAGAAATTCGGCTGGTATATTGTCAGAGCCTGGAGCTTTTGCGTTCTTCAATTTAATTGCTTGCAATGTTTCGTCTATTTTTGGGTACTCTACCGGTAGGTCCATCCCAAGGTATATATCCTCTCCATGTTCTTCATCTTGGTGTATATTAAGTAAATTTTTGAAATATTCTTGCCATGTTTGGAGTAATTCTTGTTCGTTGATTATTAATTCATCATTATTTTTCCTCAGTACAGACATGCAGTTAGGTCTGAATCCTCTCGGTTATATAAATATCTCGGATCTATAATATCTAAAGAAGGCACTACCAAAAGAGACATCGAAAACAGAACGCAACAGGGAAAAAATCGTTAAATATTCTATACTCTCTACTATGATCTAAAGATATTAGATACCCCTTATGACTTATGAGGCAGAAGTTTGGCAGATCACGAAAAAAAATAGAAAAAGAATAGAAGTAGTAGAAATGGATTTCCTAAGGAGAGAGTGTGGTGTATCCACAGGAGGACAAATACTGTATATATTCCAGTGTAGACAGAATTGAAACGAGACAACTAGTGTGGTATGGTCACATAAAGCGACTTAATGAAGATAGATGACCAAAGAAAGCTTTAAATTCGATACCACGACAAAGAAGAAGAAAGGGAAGGACTTCAGTTGCCTGAGAAGAAAATGTACGGCACTTTGAAAATGAGAGATAGAGCCATCAAAGAAGACGAACCACGATCATCAGTAATGGGGAAAACGACAAGAGAGAGAGAGAGAGAGAAACGAATTGATCGGGAGTAGTGGATCGATGTCAAGAACCGTTATTCTATGACGCTAATCGTGACGATGCCTTGTGGCGCTAGTTCCGTGACGCTCGCCTCAGGATTTTACTGTAAAAAGAAAAAGTAATACAACGGCAGTATAGAAGCTTGGCTTAAAAAAAGATATCGAAAAGCAGATAAAAAGTAAAAAAGAAAATTTTATAAGAGAAACAAATCTGTCTTCTTAAATAAATATCTTAACAATATGCACATCATGTGATATTTCAAAGTTGCTTGCAAGAAATTTTTAGGTTAGAGCTTCTTGTCACTTTAATGCTGCAATTACATAGTAGTTTGAATAGAATTATGATTAAATATATTACCCCGGATTGACGTAAGGTTGTTCGTAGCTCCCATTGAAAACAGTGTAATTATAAACAGGCCATAGTCTTTCATAAGAATGTTCATGGGCCCATATAGCTAAATCGACCCGTAATTGTAAAGTAAGTTTTCCAATCCGAAGAATTGTAAAAACGGCAATCCTACTCTTGTTATGGTTTCGTGGTGTGTACAGTCATCATGATCAGTGTTGGAACAGTACATAGGGCGATGACCCATAACTATAATCCACGGTTGCTTTTCTCTGTTTTCGGGTAAATTGGCCGTTGCCAAGTCTTCCTCCAGCCACTCGTATTGGAATACGAGAGGTTTAATACCTATAAAAACAAAAATGAATAAAAGTATTTATTTATATATATTTAGACAATATTTTGTATATAAAATACATAAAGGGCCATGTCAGGGTTAATTTTTAATTGTCAAGAAAGAAGAAACGATTGGAAAAGAAGATAAATGAATTTGAATAATTTGAAAATTCCCTGTGATAGAAACTACCCTTCAAGCTGAAACACAGACCATAGTGACTGCATCACTACGTCCTACCCAGGGTACACAAGCCAGGATTACCATTGCGACCAATAGTTAGTTCTATAGGAACTCCTCTACAACCACTGTCAAAATTTCTGGCTGAACAGCTACAACAAAGATATAAACAAGTTGAAGGAGCACCGATGAGTTCACCACTGTCACTGGTAATAGCAAACCTGTTTATGCAAGAAATAAAACAGCTAGCAATAGAAACTTCCATCTTTTATCAACGTCTGTTTGCCTTGCAATTTTAGAAGGCTCAGATTATAAGCAGAAATCTGAATTGTGTTTCGAAACTATTTTACGGATTTTGTAATTAGATGTCGCTATCGCGTCCGTATTGAAGCCATTTTATTGTTGCTTCTTAAAAGACAGAAAATATTGATTTTTCACGTTGAGAACACCTATGAATAGCTGTTCTGATGAGACCTATTAGGTCAAAATACGTATCAACAGATACATAGGGATTGTTTGCGTGAAATCGAATATTTGCTGTCTTTTTCATTTTATAATAATGTTACTTACTGATCACTGATCATTGATAATCATATTATACTTTAGTAAACGACTTAAAGAAGTATTTATCCAAACTCTTATAAATATAAATATTGTAAAAAACTTACCGTAATCCAAGAAATAATAAACTTCTGTAGATATAGAGATAATATGCATCGGACCAACGTTAATGCTGTACATGGGCGAATTTAGACCACCAGGCATCGAGAATCTATACCGATAGTTACTAAAATTGCTGCAAAAATTAGGCAAGTTAATATTTAATAGATTATAAAAGATCTCGATCACAAAAGAGCACGCTAACAAAAAAATACAGACTTCACATAGAGAATAGCAATGCGTATTCAAGTAACTTTAAAAATTACATATAGATATTCGTCACAACTTGATGCAAATAATTCTTCCCGTACTCTTCTTCTTCTAAATGTGTCTATCTTTTAGAGATGTTGGCAACCACATTGGCCCATCTTCTTCTATTCACAGTAGCTCGAAATAGATCTGTTGACGTTAGAACAGTCCATTTGTAACATTTTTTTATAATTAAAATATTAATTAATTTTTAATCCTTTTACCCCTGTTGTTAATACGCCCATGGTCGTGTTTAGGAAATTTCATTGGAACCTACCGAAATATCACGGGAATTCTCAGATTGCGGAAGAACGTACTTATTAAAAGGCGACGGTTTAGGTAATCCTCGGTTAATTCTTCCGGTTTAAGGCGGGTTTCTGTTTGATACTTTGGCAAACAAAATCCGAAAGTATTTTATGGTATTTTTCTGTAAAAACCTAATCCAAAAGGATTTATATTTCATCATGTTCCTAGCTAGAAGGGTACCTTATTTTCGATGTTCTTCTTACTTTCTTACAAATCCATACTGTCTGGCCTGTCATTTTCCCCACTCTTTTTGTGGGAAGTTTGTGAAATTTTTAGAGGAACTAGATTACTTCTAGTCGGGCAGTCTTTGAGGAAAGGCGCTTGTTACCTTACCGTCTCTGTGCATTTTCTTTCTAAGTGTGTATACACTCATATATTTGAGTTTTTTTAATCTAATATCATATTAGATTAATTATTGGTTATTGGTTAAGTTATTGGTATAAATATAAAGTATGGAAAATATCTAAAGATGTTTTCAGAGTATATGTTAAATAATGCCGGTGACAATATGCAACCCTGTCTAACTCCTTTTTCGACTGTGAAGATCTCGGACAGTTCATTTTCTAATCGTACTGTTGCTTTTTGTTGTAGACATAAATTTGAGATCAGTCTTATACCCTTACCATCGAGACCTATTTTTTGCAGGATATCGATTAGTTTCTCATGTGGGACTTTATCAAATGCCTTCTCGAAATTAATGAAACATGTATACACACCTCAGTTGACATATCTGGCTCTCTGTATTAGAACTTGCAAACTACAAAGTGCTTCCCTCACTCTAGTAAAACGAAAATTAAAAGTTTTCGATGCACAACGGGAAATGTGTGTACAAACAATATACCGAACGAAGAAAGATTATTTGAAACAGGGCCATTGTAAAGATTTCCTCTAATAGCCCAAGCTGTATAGAAAAAACGTGCATTAATTAGTGAATTTTTGAAACCAGTACACCGTTATGAAGTGGCCTGGAGTAACTTCCAAGTGTAACTTTTGTAAAAATTCTTTTTTATGCAAAAAAAACATTATATTGTAGCTCTTTTAATTACGAATCGAATGAATCTTTCTAAGATCATATCGGTCAATTGCTTCTCGAGATACGTACAATTGTTTATAAAAATTTTTAAATGTTTACAAATTTTGCAGGGCCAAAACTTTTTTTATGGATAGAGATCTAACGGATTCTCTTCTTGGTCGATTATACTTTTAAGAAGAAATAAATACATTTCCTCAAAAAATTGTTCTACCCCTTATTTTCTCTTTGTCAACCATTTTCCATCCACTCCTGAACGTAGGTCTCTTCCAATTGTTTCCATCTTTCTCTATCTTGCGCCTATCTTATCCACTGTTTGCCTGCCACTGCTCTCATGTCATCTACCCATCTTTTTTGAGATCTTCCCATGCTTCTTGTTGTAGTCCTTGGTCTCCATTCTAGAATTCTCCGTGTCCACCTGTTGTTATTATATCGGGCTACGTGACCTGCCCAGCGCCATTTCATTTTTGTGATTTCTTCCACAATATCCCTAATCTTCGTTCTACGTCTTACCTCGGTGTTTCTAATCTTGTCTCTCAGTGATATTCCAAGCATGATTCGTTCCATTGCTCTCTGTGTTGTTTCTAATTTTTTAGAAGATTTTTTGTTAAGGGCTACTGGCTCTAAGCCGTAGGTACAAACTGGTAGTATGCATGTGTTATACACCTTTTTCTTTAAGTTTACAGGAATGGAGGTCTTTTTCAAGATATATGCTAGTTTGCCAAAAGCGCCCCATGAGAGTTGTGTTCTTTTAATTTCAGCATCTTGATTTGGTTTTCTTAGTTTTTTTCCTTATTTAATGCTTTGAAATGCAGTGGTACAGAATAACTTTTAAATAGAACAGTTGATAACCTTTTAAATAGAACAGCTGATAATATTTAACATAATCCATCAACGTAAGTTTAATTTTAATATTATATGCTGAATAATATTTTATCTATAACACTCTAAAAGCTACAGATAAAAAAGTATTTCGTTTTAATATTATTTCGCATTATTTACTTTTAAAGTACATTTAAATAAATAGATAGAAAATAATTCAACTTACTAAGCCTCCTCATGATTTCCAGGACAAGTCATATACGGAAGGTATGCTGCAATTGGTTCTATTTGTCTCATAAATTCATCACCAATCAGAGCATTGTCCTAAAATACAATATATTATAATAGTCCATAGAGGGAAAATAAAATACGGCTAATCTATTTGTGTAACACGGTTAATCATATATAAACTAGTAAATGATTATAAGCTAAGTTGGCAAAGCTAAATGTACCATGGCTAATGACTTTTCAAAATTCAATCTCTCTTCATCTTCCCGCAAAATTGATCATGAAATGAACCTACTTAACTGGAAGCAATTTCCAGCCTTATATCAATACAAAAATATATCTTCATCTTCACCTCGAATTATAAAAATTCCAGCAGTCAATTGCAGTCTATTACAATTCCAAAAAAAAAAACGGTTCACCCTTAAGCCGGCCACTCACGATACTGCGACGTCGTTCAACTTTATCGAATTCGACCAATTGACAAACATTTTGATTGTCTGTGACCGTGCATCCAACAAAATTGTTACAATTTTACCACAGAGAAATTGGTTTCTATAAAGCAGTACTGCAGAATTGATATCATCGACGATTTTGTCGAACGACACCGCTGTATCGTCAGTGACCGGCTTTACGGTAAAACATGTGCTAGTGGAAAAGTGCGAAAAGTTCAATAGTCACAAAAATAAATACCATTTACCAAACAATCTTAAAGACATTTTAAATAAAAAAAAACACTATAGATAACCTACTTTTGTTTTTAAAAGACTTTAAGTATTAGATTAAATTATTAGGTTGAAGGTTTGTAGATGTATCATATAAAAAATAGATATATGGCACTTGGAATAAATTGTTTTAGCAGCAAAAGGGTTTATACGTAAAACATGATGAAATTTGATCAAATGAATGTTGTTTCGATTATAGAGAGTATACCATTCAATATTCTAGTTTTATATATAATTTACTTTATATATATATATATATATATATATATATATATATATATATATATATATAACACATCACCTATGAATCTATAATTTGTTATGTATATGGTCTCCTTTCGACATCTATTTGGTCGAATTGTGAAGTTATTTTACGTGATAAATAAAAGATTGCAACAAATAAACAAATATGTTTTTATCGATTTTATTGTTCATAGCTTGAAAACAATATCGAATCAGCATAAATGAATATTAAAAAATTGTTTTTGTTTTTTTATCGGAAATCTATAATACATAGTACAATGTATAATTACTAACAAGCGTCATTGGGTAATAAATTCAAAAATAGCTTAGTCATAGTTTAGGCCAAGACAATCACAATATGAACGAACAAATTAAAAAAGTTTTTAGATAGCATTGAGACTGATGCTATCTTTGTGATATTGGGAGATTTTAATATAGATTTGGCAAGTATAAACTTTTACTCTATGAAATTAAATGATATTATTATTAAAAATGGTACCTATCAGCTAATAAACGAATACACAAGGATTACAAAATCGACATCTACTAGGATTGACCTAGTACTTACAAATCAAAAAGACATTAGTTGCAAGGTGCTCCCAACTCCAAAGATTACAGATCATTCGATAATTGTAGCCGATCTTGGTAGAAACAATGAGACAACACTCACAAAAACCTATAGAAAATACAATACAATGGATGTGACAGGATTTCAAATGAAACTTATGGATATGCAGTGGCCGTCAAGTTCCTCTATAGATGTAAGTAACAATGCTGATATTCTAATAACTAATGTATTATCTGCACTCGATCAGTTTGCTCAAGAAAAGTCTATTAATACGAATAATGTTTGGGGAAATAAATTATGGTGGAATGAAGACATTGCGAATGAAATTAAAAAAAGAGATCAATATTACAAAAAGGCTATATTTACTAAAACTGATACTGACTGGGATGATTTCAAACAACAAAGAAATAGAGTCGTAGCATTAATCAGTATTACCAAACAAAATTATTATCAGGAAAAAATAGATGATTGTAAGAACGACCCAACAAGAATGTGGAAAACATTAAAGAAGCTTGTAAATGGCAAAAAAACCATGAAGCTAAAAGTGAAATAATATTTGATGGTGGGGGGGTTACTGGTAAAGAGATAAGTGAAAGATTTAATATATTTTTTCTAGACAGTGTAAAAGACATAGCAGATAGCATTATTTCAAACAAAACCCACCAAGAAATTTGTAGTTCAATAAATGTCGACTGCAAAATGGAAAAATTCAAAATGTTAGAAATGAAAGATTTAAAAAAACAAATGAAAGAAATGAAAAACAAAGAAAGTAATGTTGATGGTATTACAGTTCAAATTTTAAAGAGTTCCTTTGAAGTAATAGGCGACAAAATTTTGCATATTATAAATGGTAGTCTAGAAAGTGGCGTATTCCCAAGTAAATGGAAGAGAAGTCTGGTTGTACCAATTGAGAAGGTTCATGGAACTGTTAAGTGTGAGGAATTTCGACCCATAAATATGGTACCACCATACGAAAAACTGCTGGAATTATGTGTAAATGATCAAATAATGGGAGTACTTAGAAAGCAATAATTTGTTAACTAAATTCCAAGCAGGGTTTAGGAGAGGAAATTCCTGTGAGAGTGCAATGCAGACGGTTTTGATTGACTGGAAGGGTGCGCTGGAGTGCGGGAAAATGATTGGTGTGGTTTTCTTAGACTTTAAACGTGCATTTGAAACCATAAACAGACAACTGCTATTGAGAAAGATGGAAAGGTATGGCTTTGGTAAAAAAATTATAAAGTGGTTTCAAGAATATTTGACTGATAGAACACAAGTGACAAAATATGGTGCCATTTCATCGGCTCAGAAGTCTCTGTATGGTGTGCCACAGGGAACTGTGTTAGGTCCTACTCTTTTCATACTATATATAAATGATATTGTTGATGTTGTTAAAAAGTGTAAGGTACAATTGTTTGCCGATGATACTGTGATATATGCAATAGGGGATAAGGTAGATGAAATAATCGATATAATAAATGAAGAGATATGTAATATATTAAAATGGCTCGATAATAATTCCTTAAGTCTTAATGTAACTAAAACAAAAATGATGCTTATAAAGAATAAAATTTTTAATTAAATAACATAATAAAAGATGTAAAAATTAATAATATTGCTTTGGAGAGAGTGGTTCAGTATAAGTATTTAGGATGTATTATAGATGAAAATTTAAGTTTTGTTGAACATTTTAAGTTTGTTACAAATAAAATAGCAAAAAAAATCTATGCATTGGGAAGAATGTCAAAAAATTTAAGTTGCTGGTCTAGGTTGACCATATATAAATCGATTATTGCTCCCATCTCTATTTTTGCTCTACATTGCTGTTTTTAATGAATGCTTCTCAAATGAACGTACTGCAGAAAAAACAAAATAAAGCCTTAAGGATAATATTAGGATGTACTGTATACACTAGTAGAACTGACATGCTAACAATGGCAAATGTTTTAAGTAAAAGACAGACAATTGTATGTAATAGTATGATTTTTGTTTATAAAATGTTAAATGGTCTGATACCTGTGCATTTGTGTAATAATTGTACCTTTGTTCGAGATGTACATGAACACAACACACGTTCTAGAAATAACTTTTATCTGAATAGGGTCAACACTAATTTTGGTCAGAACAATCTTTTTTATAGGGGATTAAAGCAATACAATGAATTACCGGAAAACATTAAGGCTTCTGGAAACTTAGCTCAATTTAAAAAGTTATGTAAGATATATGTTAAGCAAAGCATTGTGATTTAATTTTAAGGGTATAAATTGATGTATCTATATGTATTTTTTTCTAGCCATGTGCTATTAATAAAGATTATATATATTTATATATATATATATATATATATATATATATATATATATATATATATATATATATATATATATATATATATTATTATATAGTTATATGAACTAAATATAAGCGATGATTTGGATAATTTTCCAGTATATTCAATTTTATATCAATCCCAGATCTTTTCTCTTTTCTATGAATTAGAAGTAGAAGGTTGTATCTCCAATAAATAAAGAACAAAAAATCTATAATCTTGAGATGCGGGTGTATAGGCGGATTTTTTAAGATATCTTGGGTTAACCTAGCTACAAACTAGCAGGTGCTAGAGAAAATCAATAAGAATAAAAATATTTTTAATGTCAAGCAAAGGAGCTAGAGTTTCTGGGGCACATTTCCCGTAATCCAAAATATGAGACACTACAACTTATAATGCCAGGTACAATCACGGACAAAGAAGTTTAGGATTACTTAAATATTCTTGGCTGCTCAATCTACGAGAATGGTTTGGCCAGGGAAAATTATTTCGTGTTGCAGTATCTAAAGTGCGGATTGGCAACATCCAAACAAGAAGTTGAACGCAAGAAGAAGAAGGCTTAGTTACGCCATGCGATTACATATATTTCAATAAACAATAGCCTTAGAATGTTCTACGGGCCAGCTAGGCCACCGTGGTCTTTTCAATTCTGATGGATCCACCCAAGTCTTTTTATGTATAAGGCTCTAGCTCGTAAACTAAAGGAGATACAAAAAAATTTTCAAATAAAATTTGTCCCTTAAAAATGCAAAGAAAATGCCGTTTACTAAACTTTATTTCATTAATTAGAACTCGAGACATTGGAAAATGTGTGCAAAATAAGTATTTTTAGAAAATTTTCGATCGTAACTCATCTTCTGCGCATGCAAATGAGCTTTACAAGTCTCATATTAAAGCTTAATGTTAGATTTTCAAACAAAATTTGTTCTTTCTGAGAACTTAGTAATTTTCATTTACCTCACTTTTCTGCTTCTTCCTGATCTTTGAGGAGAATCTAGGTCGTCCTAAGCACAGAGTGGGTGGGGTCTTATTCGCTATTTTAATTTCTACGTTTTTCTCTAGAATTGGTTTTCATGTATTTGAGAGCCTTTGGTCATCACCTCTTGTATTTCAATTTCTTGGATGTTTTTCGATCTCTATTGCTTCTTTAATTATATGTTTGGTCCTATTTTCGATGTTAGCTAGCATCGTTGCTCCATTCAAGTTTATTTTATGATGTCTTCTCTTTTCTTCC